GTGTGGGGTGTGGGTCCACAGAGGATTAACATCCACACCCACACCCTTCGATCAAATCATTGTTGCTGCTGAAACGTATTTTCATTATCGCGAGAGAAAACTTAGGAAGGACTGTTATATAGTGCTTTACACCGTAAATAGAAATCGATCGAGAAATTTAATTTTTAGTGAAGACAACATTTTAAAAAAAGAAACTTTTAATCAAATGTAATGATTGAATTTATTTATTATATAATTACTAAAATTTTCATCAACAAAATAATCATAAATGAAATTTGTTTAATTGATATTGATTCCATTGGTGCAATATTGGAACTAGTACTAGTCTTATTGCGAAAATACGAAATTTCAGTATCTTTAGGATCGGAACATAATGTTCGATTTTGAGTATCTATATTACAAGCTTTTACACTTATTGTATGAGTTATACCGGCTACATAATCTTTGTTCATTTCATAAGATAATTCAGTATTTTTCATAGGAGGTTTTACTTGGACTCCATCAACAATCACTTGATATTCATCGATCGGACCTTGAGGAAAAGCTGGAGGTTTCCATTTTAATCGAAGACGTTGACCATTCAGTGTAAGCTCAATATTCAGAGGTGATGATGGTCGATAAACATCTGTACGTGTAGCATAAGTTTTAGTAGCCATTACTTCCGAACAATTAATATCAAATAAGTACAATGTATATGGTTGTAAATTTTTAATATGAACAGAACCTTTTGTAGTATTTGGAAAAAATTCTGCAGGGACTAAATTGTCTGTTTTATTTGTTTGTACATGACATGAACATGGAGACGAACAATTTGATAATTTAACATTGAGACTATTTAATTTATATTTATGTTAAAAAGGAAATACATTTGAATTTACTCACAAAATACTATCGTTAGTAATTGTTGGTATATTAAACAGTGTAGCAGAGAATGTAATAATTTCTGTCGTGATTGCAGTCTGAATATTATAAATTATCACAGCGAAAATGAATAGATACATTTATATTGAATGCATGCAGAATAATGAGTTCTATAATGAAACATGCCACTTTTTATTCTCATTTGAATAAATAAGAAACAATAACTTTTATTAATGTTTCTTATTTTGGAATCAAAAAAAAATACTAAGGTAGGATTCTCTTGATCGTGTATAAGAAGATACGCATTTCTAATGCAATGAGAGGCACGTAATTCTTTCTTGACGTATACCTCGCAAGTTGTCATTCTTTGTTGCAATGCTGTCGAGGACGCAAAATCAGAAAATACTCGTTCAAATGTGAGGATAAAACTTCATGATCAAATCAATACCATCTGTTTTGTATTCTTCAATATGACGTACTATTTTCTTGCAGAAAGCCACTCAAAAAGACAAATTTTTGTAGACTTAGTTTTTTTTTCAAGCTTTTAAATAAGAAAAACAATGGCAGCTGTGAATATAGTTGACAATAGATAATGAATCAGAGTGAAAATCAAACGAGCAATCAATAGTATTTATTAACAAGATGTTGATACAGGTGTTTGCAAAAAAAACTTGGAAAATTTTTTTTTTTAAAAGCCATTTCTCTACTATCATAAGTAACAACAAAAGTAATTTTTTGAGGGATAAACCCTCGACAGATATACTACACGTTGTATATATAGAAGTGTAATTTCTTTCCTCTTCGATATATATTCATTCAATTATGCCTTCGACCAGTAACTTGAAAAATCATCATATTTCAATTTTGTCTTTTTGGAACATGAGCATATGAACTGCTTCTCTTATTCATCGTGAAACAAAACAGGTGCACTTAAACATCGAGGTGAAAATGATCGACCACGTGTTCTTAGTGGAAAAGAAAAGCAAGCTATTGGTCAATACGTTCGGTATAAAAATGAAATAACTCTTAACGAAATAAAAGAAAAATTATCGAAAATGCACCACAAACCAATGTCTGCACCAACAATTAGTCGTCAGCTTCACGAAAATGGTTATAAAAATGTTTTACCTCAACCTACTCAGATGTTAACATCGTATGAAAAAAAAACAACGTGTACAATGGGCCAAGAAGCATATAAATGATGATTTCAATACTACAATATTTACAGATAGATCTTCATTTCAGCTTTTTCGTAATACAATTCGTCGATGGGCGAAAAATCCCAATCAAGAATTTAAATGCTCACCTAAAAATCATCAGAACGTTCATGTTTCGGGTGCAATAAGTGTGAAAGGTATATTGACATGTCACATATCTCGATGCAATCTTGATGGTCCATATTATGTTTCTATTCTTGAAGATTATGTTCTTCCAACTGCCATACGTGAGTAGTGAAAGAAAATAATGTAGCGTTACTTGTGTATTCTTTCATTTTTTAGATCAATTTGGTCCAAATTGGCGTTTGCAACAGGACAATGATCTCAAGCAGGGTGTGGGCGTGTGTTGGTGTAGGGTGTGGGTATGTCAGAAGGGAACACAGACACCCACACCCTATGATAAAGGGTGTGGATGTGGGTGTCACTTGAAAGAATACTGACACACACACCTATGCATCCACACCCCATATCGCAATACCGACAAAATAAAAAATCTTGACTTTTTCTTTAAAAGACGTGTGTGTGGATGTCACTGTGGCAGTGACTGCAGGGTGTGCATCCGAGTGTGGTTAGGTGTGTGAATGAAGGGACATTTCACACCTACACCCACACTGGGGCAGCCGTGGCTCTACTGAGTGAACCATGTCACAAACAAATCCAGTTTGGGGGAAATTGGTTCCTTGGAGTCGTGTGAGGTGGGGATTTCGAATAAATAGTCTATGTGATGTAGAATTTGTTCGTCATAGATATCGACTCCTAAGGTTGCTAGAGAGTCTGTCCCATACAAATCTTTGTGTCTGTGTTTCTTTGCAACCAATCGAAGTTCAATGTAATTCCAGCAATACAAAGTACGATGTACCGTCGTAGTTCTCTTGATCAATGGGTATTGTGAACGCGACATTGTAGATTAATTAGATATGCCGTTGTGTTTAGTTTCGATCAAAATGGATTTTTCTTGCAACGCGATGGAAGAATCGATTGTCCATGTAGGCTCCCCATTGGGAACATAACTAAGTAGCTCCGGAATCGGGAACGTGACGAAACGTGATCAGGGTCAGTTGAGATCGGGGACGATCAAGACAAATGTATGCTCTTATAAATGCTTGACCAAGATAAAAAGTCGATAGAACTCATAAGTTTCATCAAGCTCTTCTGGATCTGGACGTGTAAGGACGAAGAATCCTTCACTTCTGATCTATTCTTCAATGCCAGTATTTCATATCCGCCAAGAGCGAGAGCAGCCGTGGCCGGGACTTAAAATACGTTCAAGAGCCAGAACCAGAACTGGGACAAAAAATAGAATTTTATGAATGTCTACTATCCATTGATTAAGTTTTTCTTACATGTTCTTGAGCACAATAGGAGTTTTGCTTGCATATATTAAGATTGAACTTCCCCGGGAAACGCCGGGTGCTTTCGCTAGTGCTTAATAAAAAGTGATTTATTTTCCTCATGGGAACGAACGTCTAAATACATTAGATAATAAAATTTTCCGAGCTCTATCACTGGTAAAAATATCAACCTATTGTATTGTTGCAGTATAAAATGCGATCGATCAATATTTTGTCAGAAAAATGGGAAAAACAACGAAATATGCCTCCTGAGTTGAACTTTTTTTTTATTCATTCTTGACCCTCCACAGATCTCAAGGTGTGTCCATAGTGCATGACATTCTTGCTCAAGATATTCATGTTTTTCACGCGCGTGCCACAAGAAGTTCGACTAGGGCTGTTTTTATCCATTTGACTGAAGGAAATTTCTAAAATTTTGTATGTAAGTATGTCATTCACCAGTAGTTTTTATTACAAAACTCTTAAATCTAAACTCTCGCATTTCGTAAGACAAAACTAATTTTTTTCTGAGAAAACTCTTTAAAAAATGATAAAAAAAGTCAGAAATTAATTGCCATTAAGATTTTCGTCAGTGTTTTCGATAATTGTATTGGAAAAAGTGATTGGATCAAGCTGCAAATTTCAGGAATAACTAAACTCATTGCCCTCTATAACATATCAAAAAATCAGCGAATTCTGGAATATTACTCCATCGCCAGTGTCTGAGTATATCAGAGACTCATTCTTAAGAGATTTGATACTTTTTGATGGATGCCAAATCAAATGCCACAGGTTAAAGAATAAATAATTTATAAATTACTTTTAAATATAAACGAGCATCAAAAAGCATATCTGTCAGATTCATGATGGTGTTTATGCTCGCTCTTCTTTCCAAAACTGATTCCACAATAATTCTTATGATCAACATAACTATTAATACGATAATTGGAATTAAGAATCTCTTCTTATAATACTAACGATATCTTAATGATACGCTAAAAAGTTTCTTGAAAAGAAAAGCAGTTAGACGAAAATAAAATGGAACTCTTAGTAAATCCACTTTCTTTTTTAAAAAATATATATGTGTATGTGCAAGTGTGTATTTGCATCCGATCTTTTATTTTATTTCTTAAAAATGATTAAAACATATACATATATAGTTAGATGAAAGACAGACAGCAACACAGAGCAAAAAAGATAAGATATACTGATGCGAAAAAAATAGAAAACGCTATTAGAAAGTCAATATGTATGAGTGCAACATCATTGTAACAGGAATTTACCCATGTTTTGGATAAAGACATGCATCTAAACATAAACACGTTTCAGTTCAAAATTAATCATTAAAAATAAAAGTTTACATTACCTTCAAATGGTGGCTCAAGCAGCACTTCTTTCGGTTTCTCCTGTACCAAATGATGGATATTAAGACCAAGGGACGGACTAAAGATCGATTTTACTACCACGTATGTTCCCGGTAACAGAAGAATTTCAAGGTCGGTACCAGGATATGAATGAGCACTTATACTTCGAGCATTAATGACTTCAATAGAAAAGAGGGTTCTTTCCCCTGTATCGCCTAAATAGGCAGGATTCGATAATACAGTGATATCGTTTGTGCATGATACAAATGACCACCATATTACTGACTTGTTCGATGGGTATTCCCCACTAATATTTCCTCGCACTCCATGCCAGATAGTATCTGACGGTAGACATGGTATCTTAGCCAGAGCAGTGAGAAACAGTTTAAGATATTTATGCCATGGTTTTAGATTTTCACGATCAGCTGTCTTCAAAGTGTCATTGAGAATAGTATGAAGACTTTTGTTTTCATCAGCCCACTTCATAGTGAAGAGACGAATCGCAGCTGATTCATCGCGAGTCAAACCATCTGCTGGGTTAGATGGAGTAGATTCCAAAGCACTCGATGCATGTTTCGATATATCAGGAATAATGGAAGATAATGGTTCACATGCATTAATTAGTGGAAGAAGTGGCTCTTGAGAATAGCCTAGAGTAGGTCCAAGAATTTTCCCTTCTTTAGCACCCATATATTGTTTTTCGTTGATGAACACTACTTAAATAAATTTGTTAGTCAAAAAATATTTAAATGATCTGAAATAAAACAGAAAAGGCAAATAAAGATAACAAAATCTTCCATTAAAAAAAAAATAGGAGGAATTTCTGAAATATGATTATCAATTCACAAAAAAACTATTCCCTTAAATTTTTCTAGAAATTAAAAACGAGAAGTTTATCCGAATTTTTTTTAAAGTTCAAAATGAAACTTATTGCTTTCATCTTGATTTATTATCTGTTTCATGTGGAGAATGTAAATCTTTTTTATGAATTTTATTCAATTCAAACATCTTCAAATTCTAAATTTTCTTGATACTAATACTATTTTCTTAAAATAAGCTGTCAATTTGACAGATCAAATGACTGGTTTAATTTTCATTTTAGATATTTGATCGTCTCTGTTAGTGTGACTTAAAATATAACTTACTGTATGATATAGATGCAACAAACGAAGACACTTTCTGTCATTCGAATAAAGCAGTTGATAGAAAAGGTAACAAATCTTATACAACTCGAACATACACTTATTTCTTTACGGACGATGTCACAATCGAACAAGTATGTTTTGCGAATACTCCATATGTATGTGTTTAAATGAGCATTACTCACAAAAACGTGCGTCTACGTGTTGACTTTAGCAAAAAATAAACGAAGAAAATGACTACCTGCACATGTTTATGATGTACAAACGTATTCGTTTGAGATATGATAGATGATAGCTCACACTCGTTGCGACAGATTACCTGTAAATATCCAACTTTTTTCTTTCCTGTAAGAACTGATATGTAAGCAAAATTTTTCGAATGATTCGGTTATAGATATAGATATTTTGCACATGTGTCTGTTTGTTTATGTATTTTTTGATCGACACAGTATAATATTTTTTATTGAAAAACCGTTAATCTATGCCATTCGTTAAACATATTCGTGGCTAATATCTTTGTAATATCTTAAGAAATACGTATACCTAGTTGATACAATCAAGCGGATATTGTTGAAATATTATGAATAGTTTTTTAGAAGTTTCAATAACATTGTCTGATCTAATTAGATTTTTCTGCAGAAGTTACGAATTAAATAAATATCGTTCAAGATGTTTGAAATATGTTTCATAACAATTTCCAATATGAATTGATAATGTTATATGGAGTAAAAGAAAAGCATTCACACTGATGAGGAAACGATTTCCTCTTAAAATTGTGTGTAATAATGAATTCCGATATGAGATGAAACGATTCTATGTTTTTTAAAATGACACTGAAGTACTATCATGGTCACATTCAAAGCACTAATCATTTTTGAATCTCATATTCGAAATTACCATCTTCTATGTATCACTACAACGCTATGAAATCGAACTCTGTTACAGAGTTGTTGTGGGAAATATTTATGCTTACAGTTAATATCTTCTTTCATCACAGGTCTGTATCGACAACTATTAGTAATCAACAAACCTAAATGCTATCGTTTATAATCATATTAAATCTATCGTGTTTGATGTTTTAATCTCAAAACAATTGTGCTGACAGGTTTTTAATGAGAAAGAAATTATTCAATAGAGAAAATCGTCCTGTTTTGACATAAATAATAACTAGTTTGTATAAGAGCCACTCCATATAAGCCATGAACGATCCTGCTCAATCGGTATTATCAGATTTTGCTTAGTTTAATATATATTGTAACGGGAAGAGTTTTAAAAATTTTGACGCAAATCGTTTTGAAAAATATTGAATTCTCGATTTTTTACGAGCATTTTGTGAAAATCCCTAAAAATGACCACTTCGTCGATGGGTTCTCATGACCTCATATTTCAAGAAAGGCTCGACCAATTGCCCTGAAATCGTTTGTGGACATATATCTCTACGAATTCGATTTACAAGAAAATTTTCAGCTCAAAAAAAACGGACTCTTCAAGTTTTATGAAGTATCGAAATAAGCATCAAAATGTACAATTTAGGCAAATTTGGTACTTCGTAACTTTTGATTAGGACGAGATACAGTTCTAAATCTTTTATCAGATGTAGTACTCATATAGATGTATTTTCTCGGAAAATTTCAGCCGTATACGCCGCCGTGTTCGGTCAGGAAGATTCTCTCAAAAATGGATTTTTGATGAAAATCGAGCTTTTTAGGATAGACTATCTCTCAAAATATGTAATAGGTTTAATTTTTGTGGATTCAAAGAGACGAACTAACACATTATGTACGATTAACTTAACATATTTTATTATAGTTCTGGAGAAGAATCCTTTTCAATCTTATTTCTTCAATCACACATATAACGATAAACGAAAGATACAGTCACAGTGTTTCGAAAAACAAATGCTTAAAGAAAGTATTTCAATTCATTTTTTTTTCTATTGTATTTTCGCCATTGCAGTCGGAAAACTAGAATAAAACACAATGCTGTGAATGCATTTTGAAGAAATGTTTGCAATTATTGCTTAATCCTCCTCAGTTTTTCACAGTCACAGCTTGTACCCACAGTCTTTCCTTCCTTTAGATATGGTGGCTGCCATACGCATAATGCCAACAGCTTTAACTGTAAACAAACAATCGTGTCACATCTACAATACCGTCACATTCATCCTTATTGCCAGTCCATTCTTACTCTTCTAACACGTTGTGAGCAAGTGTGCTCCACGAATAAGTGACATTATACCATATGATTTTTACTGCCATTTAGTTTCTTATGCAAAAGTTGCATTGTCATTTTAGGATATGCACTGCTCTACAAAAAGGAGGCCATGAAAAAGACCATCTGTCTATAAATAGCATAGATAATTTGGTACTTTATCTATCATGGACTATGAAAATTTATTTTGATTTTAGTAGGGTTGAATATCATTAAATGATCTCAACTTTATTGTTAAATAACCATTTTAGAAAGATTAACATATTACTTTATGATTTCTATCGTTTGATTGTTTTAGAAATATTTTTTAAAGAAAACTTATTAACACCATAGTATAGAATTGCTCTATTATTTTTACAAATTACCAGACATACTTAGGGGTATCCAGAAGTAGTGACGAAGGTTCTTTCTTTTCTTATAGAAACCTTGAAAAAATTTTCTTTTTTTATGAATAGATAGAGCGTCTTTCGCTCTATCTTTCTACACTATCTGATCACTATTAAACTAATATCATAATAATAAAATTTCGATAAGAACTATTCTTGTTGAAAACAAGCTGGTAACATTTAGATCATAATGGATGTGGTATTTTTGCATCCCACTTTCTTATCACATAATATGTTGTATGGAAAAAACAAAGTATACCAGAAGATGCAACGTGGGTGTGGGTGTGGATGTGGGTAGAGAGTAGATCAAAACCCACACCCACAACCATCCACCACCATCTCAAATGTTATCTGATATGATAAAACAATGAATATTTCATTGAAATTGTTCACTTGAATATAATTAAATAGATCCTGGTCATCCACCACCATCTCAAATATTTCCTGATATGATAAAACAATGAATATTTCCTTGTATTTATTCTTTTGATCATAATGAAATAAGTTTTGGTCATCCACGGTCATCTGATTTATCAACAGGTACGATGAGTTTTTAGATATTCTATTGTCATAAAACATTCCACTGATAATAAAATAGGTATTACTCACGAAGGAACACACAGAACTGATCAATCGCTTTTGAGTCAAGAGTATGTGCATTATGTAATTTCTAATAAATTATGAATACCCTGAAAAGAGTTCGGGCCCATCGCTTATTGGTGCTAAGATACTGCATTTTTACAGTATTTTTTAACAGGATGTCGTGGTCCGCTCAAGAGCAGCAGAAAAACTAATTTTCGAATTTCGGCTTGAAACTTTGCACAGAGATAGGTTTTAATGAATATAGATTATTGGGAAAGTTTCGGATCTTGAGAGTGTGAGTGTGGGTGTGAGTGATCACAAGATTGATATCCACACCCACACCCACAGCACCCACACAGACACATACCCATGCCCACATCCACACCCACACAGTCACATGCCCACGCCCACATCCACACCCACATCCTCTCTTTTAGTTTTAGTTATGGACTAAATTTACTATTATTAAAACGCTTGGTGTCGCCTCACTCTAATGCATGGATGTAAGAAATCACCATATGTTTTATCTCTCTGAATTCTAACAAAAACCTGTTAATCATCACTCAACTTAGTTAACAATGACAAGATGCAAGAAAGTATCAGCAAATAACAAAAGCAAAGATTCGCTTCCTACGTAATTGATTTTTCGATTTTGAACATTAGCATCGTGAGCATAAAATACCAATGAGTTTTAAACTGCCCAAATGGTTTGAGTTGAAGCAGCAAGAGCAATAAATTATATGATAAATTGAGAGAAAAAAATGCCCATGTAAATATTACTTTAATCTAATATTTATCATGTAATGTCAATAATTGACATGTCACAAAAAAAAATCCATGAAAAATATTTGAAATCCTCACAAACAAGAGAAAATAAAATAACATTTTCAGTGACAGGCGAAGAGACGGAAGAAAAAAATTTTGTTCTGATGAAATGTAATCACATCATTTAGAGAAAGTCAAAAGAAAAAGATGATTCATTTTCTCTTCAATACTTTTATTGACGGTTTTTTCTGTACTTATTTGTTTCTAGAACAGAAAAAGAAATGAATAGCTGATGAAAGAAAAAATTCTAACATAGTATAAAAAGAACAATGTCGATAACGGTAAACACAAATTGCTTTTTCTTTATAGATTTTCTGTGTTAACTACATCAGCTTTGTAAAATAAACTTCTTCTTTCAAGTTAAAATATGGGGCAAATGTTCACAAAAGGAAGGTGGAATCAGCCAAGGATAACAACAACAACACCGGTAGACGATAACGAGTATCACACTGTGACCATCGACCCGGAATTAAAACCAATTGAAATTGAAACTTTAGAAAATGGCTTTACTCCACTGTCACACAAAGACGTCGAGCAAATGTGG